AAGATCATATTGACGATTGGACCATTTAAATCATCTGTACTGACACAACAAAAAGTGGCAGGACATTGGCCTTTGAAGACTGAATTGGAGAAACTGATTTGAACCAACAAATCTTTCAGATGTTCCAAGATATGTTTCAAACTAAACAACGTTTTAAAGACTTTAGTACTTATCTGTTTTAACAAAAAAAATTGAACAATGCTGTCTCACAAAAATAGAATTTTCTTTTAGATTATGGAGTTATTTGGAAAATGATTACCCCAAAATACTATTATGAATCAGGATCTTTGGATTACAAAGAGTAAAGAGGGAGATATCAGTATCGGCTTGTCTCATTTTTGCTTAGACATCGAAGCCCACTGAATAAATCACAAACTATATCTGGACAATCTAGATACATTTCTTGTTCTAAATAGCATAACTAAAGGTAGGTATGGGTTTAGATGTAGATGTTGAGGTCCCTAAAACTCTAACGTTTCTCGTGTTTGTCTCAGTGTGCAGCTTGAAACACTGATCCACTCAGAGGAAAAAAAAAATATTTCAGTAACTCAGTTTACTAAATGAAACAAATTATAGGTAATAAAGCAGATTGATGTTTTAAAACCTTTTCTTCCATTAATTATGATTTCCTGCTCACAACTAATGCAAATGCAAGAATTAAGATACAATAAAACAGGACATTTTTTATACAAAAATGTAGGCTTACCGGCTTAAAAATGGACATTCTGACAGAGTACTTTTAATCTGACAAATGGGCCTCACCAAAATGCATATTCTGATTTAGTAACTATGGCTACAACACTTTTTGTTTTTGCTACTTGTGAGCTACACTGATGAGAGCTGTTAGGAAATTCTCTGTGTGTGAGTGTGTGAACTCATGTTGGTTTTTGGATTTTCTTCCGTCTGTGTAAGTTTTGTTCTTTGTTATTTTATTAAACTCAATTAAGGCTCTACTGAGCCTTCTTGTCACTGGTTGTTTGTTTCCTGTTGCCTTCGTATCCTCATTAAGACCAAACAAATTAAAACAAGGATCTGTTGGTCTTAAGCATCTTAAGACAATGCTGCATATGCTCCTGATGGTAAAGCAATTCAATATGTACTATCATTTAAATAAACAGAAAATAAACTCATGTTTTTTTGTTATTTTTTTTGTAGCTCTTAGATGCATGACTGTGTTGTATCAGGCCATCAGTATCAAAGTATCTCAAGTGTATCTACTGTAAATTACATGTGGGGGGGTGGGGGCAGTCACTCAGCTGTGACTCAATTACAAGAAGACGACAAAGGACCCATATGATCGCTTTTGTCTGGAATCCACACAGCAATCATATTTGCTACTTGTAAATTGAATTAAGGGACAGGAACGGGAGCAGGTAAAAGGCAGACTCAAGGGGCCTCTTTCCTAGTCAAGACTAATTGTGTCTCTGAGTGACACAAAGGCTTGAATAGAGAAAGCACTACTGTAATCAGATGGCTGTGTGCTTGTTCATCAGCCCAGAACCTTTCTGCACCATTGGCTCTTCTGTCTGTGCCTATGACAACAGAGGGGAACAGCAGTGTGCTGATTGCAGCATCAACCCTATGGCAGAGAAAATAGAGATATTGTTGGCTGCACTGGTTAAGAAAATCTACACCGTCAAACTAAAGCAATAGACGATATCTGATTTTGAGACAATATGAAATACAAACCAATAAACAGAAGTGATTGTTTTTGGTCGTCTCATTCAGACAATCTGATTATCGCATTCTCACATTAGAAAAAAAAAAAAAAAAGAAAGCACAGTTTTTGTTTATATCAAAACAAAATATTACTTGAGCTTTTATATGCATGCTTTAGATATGACTTGCTGTAGCTGAAGCTTTCTCTTTTTATTTTGAGAGAAGCTATTTATGCTGCTCTTTCTGCTTCATTGATTTGGACACAGCAGCTGAAGAGCCCAAAACGAACCCTTTCACATGGATACATACTGAGGAATTTATGTAAACCCACTGAACCAGAGAACAACTAACACTAGTGCATGACTGTGATAGACTAACTCATCCTGTTCTCTGTAGTTCTTTATTTTACTGAAAGAAAGATCAGTTATGTCATAGCTGAAAAACAAAAGTAGATGCTTGAAAGATCAGAACCATTAGAAGGATAAGAAGCGAACATAACTTATAAACTATTCAAATCACATTCAAATACAAATAAAAAGGAACAAAAAGGACACAACATTGTTGGTACAGAAAAAAAAAAAAACAAACAGACTGACTTAAGCCAACATTTATGATATTTGCACAATATCCAGGAATGTGTTACTTTTCTGGCCTCTCCTTCAACATCGCCATGAAGTCAGTTAAGCCTTTCTAATTTTGTTTTTATAAATTGAAATGCTACATTTTCTTTGGTTGTTAATAGTAAAATGTCTTATGTTGTGAGAGAAAAACACCAAATAAACCATCTTATTTTAAAAAGCGTACAAAGCAACTCAAACCAGGTGTCTGAGTTATAAGACAAACAGAATTATCAAAATCAAAATGTAATAATTTTTGTTCATTTTTTTCCATTTTGATTTTATTCAGCGTATTGTGAAATTTCCTGAGTAGGATTTTTTTTTTTCTGCAAGATTTAAATATGCGGTCTCTTTCCACCTTAGAAACCTTTAAGAACAAGAACAATTGGTATGCAGCTTCTCTGTAACTGCTTGATTTTCACAAATTTAATCAGGGCTTGCTGAGATTACAAGGGTAAAACTTTTTTCACCAGAAATGGCTCCTGCTGGAAAGAAATACTTCTTAAGCTCTCCTGAATCTTTAGTGAATTAAATTTTAAGTATGTTTCTTTCCTGGTTTAATATTCCCTTTATTAGGTTTTATTGCCCATAATATTATAATTTGTAAAAGAATTTGCCTAATATTTTGTGGGAAAACAACAAGAACAGTGTCTTGTGCAGAATATCACGTTGATTAACAGCAACTCAAATTTAAGATAATGGCACAATTAAATGCTAACTTGATGTAAATTTTTGTTCATTCAAATTAATAGCTGACTTTCACCTTCAATTTTCTGTCAAAACAATGAGATTTTATGACAAATACGGTACATTCTGCCGTTTTTGATACAGCAATTTTCCTTTGTAAAGTACAAATAAACAATCACAAACCCTAGATTTCTGCTTTAACATGTTTTATGAATGAAAGAACCAAGGCAGCTCATGCTCTAAGTCTCTTTGTGCGCTTATCTATTCAGACACACGAGCCTGGATTTTGTTATCAAACATCTGAGTGACATGTTTCATTGCAGTTATGAGTAACAACACGTACGTCTTAAAAATGAACAGAAATCATAGAATAAAGTTTAGGACTACAGAACACCCCATTGAAATCTCACCTATCAGTCTGTGAAGGCAAAAAGAATGTAAAATTTATTACAGTTACATCTACCATAGTCTATGGAGAACCTCTAGTAACTTCCTCTTTGTTTTATTAGGCCTACTTCTCTGTCAGCGCTGTGAACCATTCTTCAGACAGTGCTCAAGAGCAGTGGCCTCAGCATCACCACATGCAATTCACCTTAATACCTTAGTATCAGCTGGGAAAAGAAATCTTTTTAATGCATTTCCTGAATTGGATAATTTCTGCTCAGTTTACGAATTTTCCATACAGTTGTATGTTTTTCCATGTGGGGGTGGGTAATTGTCTATTTTGGTTTTGTGGGTTTGTTTTTCAGCACTTTGAGCTGATTTTAATATGAAGGGTGCTTAATAGACAACATTGACTTATTGATTGATTGAAATGCACATAAGAATGGAAAGGGCGTTCCAGAAGAAAATGTGTATCAAAGGCAAAAGGCTCAGGGTAGTACAGTCAAAATTCCCATTAGGGCTGCAACGATTCCTTGAATGATTTGAGTAGCTCGATTATTAAAATTTCTTGAGGCAAGTTATCTGCCTCTAGGGTTTGTTTTACTATTTAGCACACCGTGTTTCAGCCAGGTGATTATTTGTCTTGTGCAATGCTTTTTCTTCCACTTTTGAGTTGTTGACTGATGCCAATTACTAGCACCATCATGTCCAATTTTCAAGTTTGATCTGGGGTAATTTTCATTTTAACACATTTTTCTGTGTATGACAAACATGCCAAATGCCATCAAGTACGTGGACAGAAAAGCTTTACATGGCTGAGCAACGTTACAGTTGATATATTAAACTCACACTAATATGAGTCATTTTTAGTTTATGAATGCATAAACTAAAAACTGGAGCATAGACTATTTTAGAAGTGTCTTTGTGAGCTACTACTGTATTATTAGACTGAAAATAATTTCAGATATTAATATTTAAATTTTGCCCAGGTTAAGTTAAAAGGTGAGATATTATTGTTACAAGTTAATTTTCTAAATTACAGAAAAGTAATTGTTAGGGATGCACAAGTATGAACATTTGGGCCATTGTTGAAATCTGATATTAATACTGCTGTTATGGCAGAATTTACCAATAATTTATGTACTTTTTTTATTTCATCACTCAATTAATCATTAGAATAATCAACAGATTACTCAGTTATTAAAATAATCATTTACAAGAGTCCTACCTTGTTTTACTCTGTACAGTTGTTCTTTCTTCTTCTACTCTGAAATGTTTTCTTCTGCTTTGATTTGAGATGTTTAGTAGCAAAATAACTTGCAGATGAAACCCATATTCTGTTGAACAGTTTTTTTTTTGTTTGTTTTTGTTTTGTTTTTATTTGAGCAAATGCAAAACAGCATTTTTTTTTTCAACTGGCAGCAGAACTGCTTTTTTTTTCTTGCCTCTACTTCTACATTGGAAGAAATTAGTCTTTGTCTTCTTTTTGAAGGTTTGACCAATATTGACTCTGTCTTAAAATGACATGAAGTGTATTGGCTGCAGCAATAAACATAATACAGCAACCAAAAAAAATAAAATAAAATAAACCTTAGAGTTCAATTAGAGTATATGAGCCTGACATATGGATGTCAAGTCAAAGTGAATTGAATTGTCCAGTGTCTCTCAAATCAGAAGAGACTTGGCTGTGTGATGAATGGTGACATTTATTTGATTTGGGAGATATTACAGTAGGTACTGTCAAGAGATATAAATGAATATAGTGCTGCAATCATATTTTACCAGAAGAGCAATACTTTTTTTTTTTTTTTTTTTTTTTCTTGAAGTGCACCAGAGATGGCAAAGATGTAAAGGACAGTTAGTCTCTCGCAATGTAGACATTGGTCAAACAAAGGCCAAAATAAAGTTCAACTGTCATTAAATAAACTGGGACATTTTTGTTGTTTAAAGTTTGACCTCGACCGTGACTTTATCTATCTTACCTATTTAAACCTTCAAGCATTTCCACATGTGAATTTAATGAGTTCATATCTTCTAATATTACTACAATTGTTTTCTTGTGCCTGCTTGGAGACACTTTTCTGCTATAGCCAATGAATGTTTAGTGGGTTCATTTGTTTGTGTACATTTCGCAAGCGCTGAGGTGTGAAATTTACAAGGCTACTTTATCAGTTTTTATAAACTGTGAAACCATGTCATCCAAATGTTATTCGCTACAAGATGTGGCACAGTAGAGTAACTTTAATTATTTGAATTTATTTGACAATAATCATAGCATTTAAAAGCTGTAGCTGTTGATGAGCTACCAAAATGTAACTGTCTAAAAAGTTTTTATTTGCACCTTTACCTTATTAGTTACTAATGTTGTCAGTGGCCTTCTATAAAACATCCTTCTATCCCACCTCGGAAACCCGCGCTCGGAATAATAACAATATAAAAATCTGTTGGTGGTCCTCATAAAACTGCCTTATTATTGCAAAATTTTAGCATAACAATGCTAGACTTCAACCCATCAACAATAAAGTATATGGTATGGCTGATGTTCGGGGTTTTAATCATTTCAAAATGTGCACCTTTCATTTCTCCCCTGGTGGTTTTTAGAAAGCAAAGTGAAGTGGGGCTGCTGCATCAATAAGACGGAAACCTCCCAAATCCTCTTAGATGAAAGTCTGACACAGGTCAACAGGATTATTGGTCTTTACTGACAGATTGAATACAATTTCCATGGCAATAGTAAATTATTTGCAATTGAGATAATACATGTGTCTTTAATTAGAATTAGGAAGGTGCATATATTCTATTCAGTGTGTAAGGATGCTTGAAAATCCTAAAAAAATAAAAAATAAAATACAAGACATTGTACTTATGGAGAGTTTTTAAATCCAAGATGCCTCTCTTTGCTACAGTTCTGCAACAGTGAGTTTTGGAGATCTTTTAAAATCTCACTTATCAATCCCATGGCAAGTTCAGCTTTGGTTATTTTCTGCTTTTATCTGTCACAGTTCAAGTCCAATATGTTTTTTTGGGTGATACTTTGCATTTGAAAAGTCAAAACTGGACTATTCTATAATGAATAAATAACAAAACTGTATTGCTTAATTAAAAATTAACTGCCTGAGGCCCTAAGGGAAAGAGTGAAGGGTAGGCTGAAAAAAAAAAAAAAAAAAAAAAGAGAGTTGGGGATTGAAAGTGAAAAAACTTGTTTATCGTGAGGCTGCAGATGTGACTGTAGCTGCACTGGAGGGCAGCCATTATTTTATGCTGGGCAGGTAGCACGCTCCATTTCCTAACCTGTCAGAATGGACAAGCTAAACACAGGGCTTTTTGACACCGGGATTTTACATCGCTCATTCTCACCGACAGCTGCAGTCGAAAGAAAACTTGATGTGATGTCATTCCCCGTGGGGCCCCCTAGCATCTGATGTGCAGTGCTTACAGTTTTTCAGAGGTAAATCAGTGCTGTCTGTGATAATTTTTCTATCTTCAAGGTATGAAGTGCACAGAATGTCACATTTGACAAGCTGGCTCCAAAAAAAAACAAAAAAAAAAACAGTCCTTTCCTCTGATGGTTGGGAAAGAGAGTTCCCATTGAAATGGTATTCTTCTACTGGGAAGATTAAATTATCTTACTTTTAAATTGCTAGAGTGAGATGTAGGTGTGTTGTATTTGAGTATTCAAAGTACACTTGAAAATGAGTATTTACAGACTATCCCCTCTATATAAACATACACAACCTTTTGGTTTTACTATCTGACACTAAATCAAACTTGTCCTATTTTAGTCGCTTTAAAAAATTCTAAAATTACTATTGTTTGCCTAAAACAACAATAATTAGTGAATTCAATTTACTTATTTATAATAAGGGGTGGTATTAGCTTACTTTTCCTTGGTAGAATTGGTAGTATGTTTCACAAACTTAAAGGGCTTAAACAATATAAGTTTTACATTGTACGTCACAGCGAGAAAAAATAATTGCAGTTTTTTTTTTTTTTTTTTGAGTATTTTTACAAGTACCTGTTTTCAACACCATGCCGTTTCCCCAAAAATATAAAATGCTTGGTACAAAAAAATGAGAGCAAAGGACAAAAATGTTTACAATCTGTAAAACACAAAACAAATCACTGACTAAATTTGGAAATTTTACTATAAAATATGAATGAAATATTAAATAAACAAGAGCATCAAAATCAGGGCAGCAGTTTATGTAAAAACAAAAAAAGTCTTTCATAAACACTACAATTTCCCAAACAAAATGTTAACACAACCCTAAAAATAATGATTGTTATATGGTTCAGACTGAAGTTGACTTTGTATTTCTGTTTCTGCATGCTTTGCTTTACAGTTCACTGAATAGTCAAATGGCTTTCAGAGGCCCAATGATTTCAGTGTAGTGCATTTTCAGACAATGATATTGTCAACAAGATAATGAATTTGTGTGGGAGTAAACATTTGGTTGCTGCCCTCTGTTTCATTGGCACAAGACACTTAAAGTGTTTATTTTTTTTGGCTTATACCCTACCAAAAACAGATGGTGTGTCTTGTTTTAATTTTTGGTTGTTCTGGCAGATGGTCTGGCCACACATGAATGTTAGTGATGACCGTGCAGTCCAGATAGACTACATTTACAGATACTGTCGATATTAAAAACACAACTTAATGAAGCAATAATGAAAGTTTTTTTTTTTTTTTTCAGAGAAAAAAATAAAAACAATTTCACTGTTGGTTATGCTGTCCATCTTTTTCCTTCAGTGTATTTTTTAACAGTACAAGTTGAACTGCTGTGGTATTTTTAGTGACCTCAACAACAATTTGCATGTTTTAAAGATGTGTAAAAAGCCTTAACGTATTACAATTGCTTTGATAACTGTTACTCCATGTACAGTCTCTGTACTGAAGTCCTCTAATAGTAATTCCTTCTTGTTGGTAGGAAATGAGAAGGATGCGCGCATGGTTTAAAATTAAACTTGGGGTGTATAAGTGGTTGTCTGCAATGTGCTGATGGTTCAGGAAGGAAGTCTCTGTAGACAGGACTTTGTTTGAACATTTCTTTTTAAACTCCAAACCTAATCAGAACACCTGAATCATGAGGAAATCGTGGCCCGGTTGTGGAAATCCCTCCTGATTTCTAGACAGCCTCTTCTAAAGGGCTCAGAGCAAAACTTTATGCAACATCCTATTTTGCATTCCCCAATGTATAGACTTTTTCTGTATGCACACTTTCCATTCCTAACCATCTCCTGGTTTCAACCATCTCCTCGTGCCTTTTTTTATTTGATCACTCAAAATGTTCAGACTTTGGCTTACAGCAAACAGTAATTCATAGATTAATAAAGACAAGTTTCTTCACTCTCTGGTCAACTGAAAAAGTAAAGAACTTCTAAAAAGTGTCTTGTTTGGATTTTCATTTTAAAAGAACTTTTCCAGGTCCCAGAAAGCATCATTTCTCAACAAGAAGGTTCTTCCCCGCTGAAGGATGGCAGGGTTGGTGGGTTATGTTACTACAATAGAAAACTAACTTATTTTAAAACTTTATCCTTACCAGAAATACCAATACTTATGTGGGATATACACCTGGACTTTAAATATTGACTTCTAAAACACCTTTTAAGAGAAAATACATGTTAAATTTGACCTAAAACAGTACTTTTTTTTTTTTTTCTTTTTTGTTTATTCTGTTAAAAGCTATGCTGGCATACAGGGTCTTTAAACGCATAGCATGTGGTAGAGAATCTACAGCTTGTGACTTTCTATTAAGTGATTTACATATATTTTTTAAGGTTTGACAATACCTTCTGTTACACAAAAACGAAGGAGCCAGTGTTTCTGTTTTTTTTTTTTATTTTATCAATTTCGCCCTGGCATATAAAAACAATGTTTTTGATGCATGGTTTGAATGAAGAGTGTTGGTCTCCTTTTTATGCCACTATGTCATCCGTTGGGAAGTTGTTGTTGTTGTTGTTGTTGTTTTTTTCTGTGGGAAAAGATGGATATTATGGTATGAGAGTGTGCGAAAAGTGTGAAATGCCTGAGTCTCACCCTCAGTGCTTGAGATGAGAGCCATGCAGTTTCTCCACTCCGAGAGGATTGACTCTTTTAATCTTCACAAAACAAAACTAGAAATATCCACCATCTGCTTACTTGGGTAGGCAAGTAATTTTGGAAGGGCTCCTGTTGTAAGACTGGGAAGAAAAAGTTACGTAATATAATATTTCCTAGGTGTTGAGCATGTACCTTCTCTGTTTTCTCTGGGTACTGTGGTTTGTTGTAATGTTTCGAAATGTCTGCTTGGTTTCTGTGTTACTCTAAATATTCTCAATGCGACTTAGTATGTGCAATATTGTCATTGTTGCATATCTCTGTGTCTCTCCTGGTCTTATAATGGAGAAGCCTGCAACTTGACTCGTCGGATAGACTTCTACCTTCCCCCAAGCCCTCAAACAAGATTAAACACTTAGACGCCCAACAGAGAAGCAGATGCTTTCCTCATAAAACAACGATAACCTTTAAAACATTTAAATCAGTTTGAGATCTTGTGAGCTTTTGCAATATATCACTATACCATTTGCTTCCTAGCAGGACTGGAGCTTTAAAATGCCTTCTGTGTTACTACAAAAAAGTGACACATGAAGGTCTTGTCTGATGTGGAGAACATCTCAGTGAAGAAATGCTATTTTAAAAAAAAAGACATTAATTTAACACCCACTAAATATATTTCAGTGTTAGACTAATAATAATTACACCCCTATCACACTATTGCAGTTCTGCACTCTTTTCCTAGGTCACATGGAGTATGCAGCTTTATGCTACCGTCTCATTGTTTACCTCACTTATGTTACTTGTACATGTTAAACAACTAAGGCTGACAGTATTATGTATTATGGCCAGGTAATACTTGGTGTAACTTAGCAGTAAATGTAAGATGGAGCAGTATGGTGCTTAATTTCTAGATAATGGCTGAGGGAGATGCTTTTCCTGCTGCACTGACGCAGTTTATCAAATATGTTATCAGTTGAACAGAAAGAATTGGGCCTCAGTCACCATGGTATCTGTGTAGAACAGTTCTGTCTGATTAAAAGGGATTTGTCTAATAATCCAGCAAGGAATTTTACTGACTAAGCATTGACAATTCACTGATGCACTGAGTCTCTCTCTTACTCATTTTCTGCTCCTCAGTGTTATGAAAGCAATGGATAATTAGCTGTAGTGCATTCAAATACTCCTATATTTTGATATTGGAGTTCAATAACTGTCAGACCTTAAAGCTGCCGTAAACTTGTATGTAAATATGTTTTGGTGTTTTTTTAAAATATTTGTTAAAACTGTCACTATGTCTTGACAGTATAGCATGAGATAGATAATCTGTGAAAAACCAAGCTACTCTGTCTCTGCAGAAGTACACCAATCTCAGACGGAAATAATCACACATCCTCTTGTGTGATTCTGCATAGTGGTCAGGAAGTATAATCCAAACCTGATACTCATTTTGTCAAGAAATACCAAAAGATGCTAAATCCATTTCCAATGCAAATTGCGGTACCCCTGCTCTTTCAAAATACTGTATACTGTGTGTCAGGAATGTTTTATATTAAGCAGCAGGGAGAAGCAAGTATTGGAACAGGCCATCTCCTCCTCAGAGGCTGAAATTGTTTCATGGACAATGAGCTACCTTCTTTATGACCAAGAGCCAGGAGAGGAGATGAAACGACTGATGCTATTTGGTTTGGAGTCAGCTTGCAGTTCAGGAGTGTATGTGAAATAATCTCTTTTTCTTGTCTCCGGGGAACTCTCATGCTGAAAGAGACAGTTTGCAGAGGACTTTTGACAAGCCCGTAGAAAGACAGTTAAAGAACATTGGTTTCTTGGAAAGTTTAACATGTCTTTATCTAAAGTTTGAACTGTGGGTAACATGTTGCAATAGCTGCGAAAAGCAGGTCAGTGGCATGGTAATTATAAAACAATTTAAATAAATTATTTAAGAGATAAGAAAATAAACTTGGTTAATATTTTCTAACAATATCCATACTCTTTGAATTATCCACAATTTGTAACATTAGAACAGCAGAGTTTATCTACATTTACACACACACACACACACGCACACACGCGCGGCGACGTGTGTGTTATAGACTAACATGGCAATTGTGACACAATTGTCAAGTGGAAGAAAATTAACACATGACTAGTAAACCTTTTTAGATGCAGAATACGAAAAATGTGGTATTCAAATTCGACCCCTGACTCAATGCTTCAAAGAACAGCCTTTTTAGCACAATTACAGCTTGTAGTTTGGAGAATTAACATTTTGCCCATTCATTTTTGTAAAATTGTAGAGTTCTTCACATATGATGGAGAGGTTTTGTGAACAGCAATTTTAAAGTTGTAAACAAATTCTCAAGAGTCTGGGTGGTTGTTTGGCTGGAGGAGGGCAAATGGTTGTCAAATAATTGCGTAAAGTCAACAGGAGATGAATGAAGAGTGAGGGAAGTTGCCTCCCCTAAGTTAAACTCCTAAGGCTTAGTTTACATGACACCGCTATCTGAAAAATGCTGGTATTTGTGCATGTTGATTGGGAACATGTTCCACATTTAGACGTCATTATGTCTCTGTTTAAAATTCACTGTAGTTGCAATTCTGGTTCACTATGTGGCGCTACGATTTTAGTTTGTTGTCACAATTTGTCTTCCACCTTCATACAATGGACTTTGTAATCATTTTTGAAAAATGGTTTTTTCACAGACCCCAGAGGACTTCAAGGTACCATTGAACATCTAAACTACTCAAAGATTGTCTCTGTTTAGCAGTTAGGTATCTTTCAAAGGCAGTTGGCTCCAATGCATGTCAAAATGGGCTGAATACATACTCAGTCATCGTTTTCAGGTTTTTTTTTTTTTTTTTTGGAAAACATATGACTGCCCTGTATAACTTTACTACTCATTCAGAAAGATGTGCTACTTTATTTTAGTTCATCACCTAACATCTCACAAAATACACAAGGTTTGTGGTTGTAACATGGAAATAATCAGGTTGAACTTTTAGTAAGGTGCTGTACATGTCACAACAGCAGGTGCAGTATTTTTACTTAAAAAATTCACTTTTCTTATCTTTCAGAATAAAACATTTATTACTATAATAATATCCATACTACAGTAAGTGGACTGTTGTGTTGATAGTAGTTTTGCTCCACTGTGTGTATCACTGATACATGTTGTACTTCAAGGTCAGCTTATCGCCTCAATTTTTTGGTTCTGCTTGGAATAGCAGAATGTGTCAAAGCATGATACTGAGATATCAGAGAGCAGTGTTTGTTCGGCGAAGCTGCAATACAAATTTAAACACCAAACATAGCAATCCCTCACACTGATTTGATATGAACCATGCTGGGTTTATCCTTTCTCTGCTGTATTTGTATACACACACTGTTACACACACAATCTCACATGTTCAGTAAAATAAATCCAGAGGATGAAAATACATGCACTAGTGGAAATACTTGGGCACATTTTAAGTATAAGTGTATTCAAAATTACTAGCATTTTCAACATGTTTTATTAAGCATTTTATCTGATGCAACCAAGTATTTAATGCATAAACAAACAAACAAAAAAAATAAATAAGATTTCCAGTTTGGTGCCAAATGTTTTAAAGTTCTTAAGCTGTGAAACCAGTCTAATTTAAACCTGCATGACAACTCCATGTCTGTTTATTTTTTATGTGGTCATAGTGAAGCATATAAAGAGTAAAAATGTTCAAATTTAAGGTAAAAGCTACCTTATAATTTTATTAATTTACAGCGTGTCAAACTTGTAAGAGCACAAAACCAGAAGTGCTTTTATGTAAATATTTATGACCCTGTGATATTGCAGCTAGCATAGCAGTGAGAAAATATTTTGGCGTTTATTTGGTTTCCTAAATCATCCAGTGATCTAATACAGCATTCATAATGAGAGACATTCATGTGGTCATCATTGTGGAGCTACAGCTTACATGATGAGATTGGTCTGACATATACAGGCCAAAATCCACGAATGACCCTGACTAAAAATCCAGAACAATTCTTTCAGAGCAAAACGTGCTGCAGCGACAGTATGTAGTGCAGGTTTCTTTTCACTCTTCGTGACGCAAGATAAAAATTATTAACCAAATTTCCGATCAGGACTCCAAGTTGAGTTTTTGTGGACAAGTCTAATTTGCATCTGTAATCCTTCATTTTTAAAGATCTAAGTCTGACTAAAGCTGGAGTCTGAACCTCAAGTCCTCATCTCTGGTATTATTTGTCACTCATAAGTTTGGGAATGAGGCATCTTCTGTCTTAATAGATGTTCTGCTTACTGGATCCATGAATGTACTTTTAAATTATGGCATTGCATTATCTTAATAAAATAAAAATATTAGATTTCTTAAAAATTCCTAGTCCGTGGATTATTCTCAAACATTGTTTCCCCCCTTGAACTTAATTGCCACCTCATGTTTCTGTATACTTATTTCTATGTGCTACAAAATGTTTAACCCAGTAATGCTGCAGAATTGTGATGAATATTATCAGACATGCTTCATTCTCTATGGAACTCATTTTGTCCTGTGCTCTGATGCTTGCACATACAAAGCAAATGAGAGTGTCAATGTCATGTTAGTGTTTCCTATCACTTTAAGTGCTGCAATAAAACTGGTGATTTACATCCATATGTCTGATTAAGTGTGGAACATAGGACATTTGTTTTAAATGTGGCATTAGGAGGTTCCTCACTCTTGTCACAAGAAAGCAGATTAATAAACACATGCCAGGTGGAAA